GCAGTCTCTGTAGTCTCTGGAGTCTCTGCAGTTTCTGGAGTCTGTAGTCTCTGTAGTCTCTGTAGTCTCTGGAGTCTGTAGTCTCTGTAGTCTCTGCAGTCTCTGCAGTCTCTGGAGTCTCTGTAGTCTCTGCAATCTCTGTAGTCTCTGGAGTCTCTGCAGTCTCTGGAGTCTGTAGTCTCTGCAGTCTCTGTAGTTTCTGGTGTCTGTAGTCTCTGCAGTCTCTGCAGTCTCTGCAGTATGTAGTCTCTGTAGTCGCTGCAGTCTCTGGAGTCTCTGCAGTGTCTGCAGTCTCTGCACTCTGTAGTCTCTGGAGTCTGTAGTCTCTGGAGTCTGTAGTCTCTGGAGTTTGTAGTCTCTGCAGTCTCTGCAGTCATGCAGTCTCTGCAGTCTCTGTAGTCTGTAGTCTCTGCAGTCATTGCAGTCTCTGTAGTCTCTGTAGTCTCTGCAATCTCTGCAGTCTCTGCAGTCTCTGGAGTCTGTAGTCTCTGCAGGCTCTGTAGTCTCTGCAGTCTGTAGTCTCTGGAGTCTGTAGTCTCTGGAGTCTCTGCAGTCTCTGTAGTCTGTAGTCTCTGTAGTCTCTGTAGTCTCTGTAGTCTGTAGTCTCTGCAGTTTCTGGAGTCTGTAGTCTCTGTAGTCTCTGTAGTCTCTGGAGTCTGTAGTCTCTGTAGTCTCTGTAGTTTCTGCAGTCTCTGGAGTCTCTGTAGTCTCTGCAATCTCTGTAGTCTCTGGAGTCTCTGCAGTCTCTGGAGTCTGTAGTCTCTGCAGTCTCTGTAGTTTCTGGTGTCTGTAGTCTCTGCAGTCTCTGCAGTATCTGCAGTATGTAATCTCTGTAGTCGCTGCAATCTCTGTAGTCGCTGCAGTCTCTGGAGTCTCTGTAGTCTCTGCAGTGTCTGCAGTCTCTGCAGTCTCTGCAGTCTGTAGTCTCTGGAGTCTGTAGTCTCTGCAGTCTCTGCAGTCTCTGCAGTTGTGCAGTCTCTGTAGTCTGTAGTCTCTGTAGTCTCTGTAGTCTCTGTAGTCTCTGCAGTTTCTGGAGTCTGTAGTCTCTGTAGTCTCTGTAGTCTCTGGAGTCTGTAGTCTCTGTAGTCTCTGTAGTCTCTGCAGTCTCTGGAGTCTCTGTAGTCTCTGCAATCTCTGTAGTCTCTGGAGTCTCTGCAGTCTCTGGAGTCTGTAGTCTCTGCAGTCTCTGTAGTTTCTGGTGTCTGTAGTCTCTGCAGTCTCTGCAGTCTCTGCAGTATGTAGTCTCTGTAGTCGCTGCAGTCTCTGGAGTCTCTGCAGTGTCTGCAGTCTCTGCACTCTGTAGTCTCTGGAGTCTGTAGTCTCTGGAGTCTGTAGTCTCTGGAGTTTGTAGTCTCTGCAGTCTCTGCAGTCATGCAGTCTCTGCAGTCTCTGTAGTCTGTAGTCTCTGTAGTCTCTGCAGTCATTGCAGTCTCTGTAGTCTCTGTAGTCTCTGTAGTCTGTAGTCTCTGTAGTCTCTGCAGTTTCTGGAGTCTGGAGTCTCTGTAGTCTCTGTTGTCTATAGTCTTTAGTCTCTGCAGTTTCTGGAGTCTGTAGTCTCTGTAGTCTCTGTAGTCTGTAGTCTCTGTAGTCTCTGTAGTATCTGGAGTCTGTAGTCTCTGGAGTCTGTAGTCTCTGCAGTCTCTGCAGTCTCTGCAGTCTCTGTAGTCTGTAGTCTCTGTTGTCTCTGTAGTCTCTGTAGTCTCTGCAGTTTCTGGAGTCTGTAGTCTCTGTAGTCTCTGTAGTCTCTGGAGTCTCTGCAGTCTCTGCAGTCTCTGTAGTCTCTGAAATCTCTGTAGTCTCTGTAGTCTCTGTAGTCTCTGGAGTCTCTGAAGTCTCTGCAGTCTCTAGAGTCTGTAGTCTCTGCAGTCTCTGTTGTTTCTGGTGTCTGTAGTCTCTGTAGTCTCTGTAGTCTCTGCAGTCTCTGTAGTCTCTGCAGTCTCTGCAGTCTGTAGTCTCTGGAGTCTGTAGTCTCTGGAGTCTGTAGTCTCTGTAGTCTCTGTAGTCTCTGTAGTCTGTAGTCTCTGTAGTCTCTGTAGTCTCTGTTGTCTCTGCAGTCTCTGTAGTCTCTGTTGTCTATAGTCTGTAGTCTCTGCAGTTTCTGGAGTCTGTAGTCTCTGTAGTCTCTGTAGTCTCTGCAGTCTCTGTAGTCTCTGCAGTCTCTGCAGTCTGTAGTCTCTGGAGTCTGTAGTCTCTGCAGTCTCTGCAGTCTCTGCAGTCTCTGTAGTCTGTAGTCTCTGTAGTCTCTGCAGTCTCTGCAGTCTGTAGTCTCTGGAGTCTCTGTAGTCTCTGGAGTCTGTAGTCTCTGCAGTCTCTGCAGTCTCTTTAGTCTGTAGTCTCTGTAGTCTCTGTAGTCTCTGCAGTCTGTGCAGTCTCTGTAGTCTCTGTAGTCTCTGGAGTCTGTAGTCTTTGTAGTCTCTGCAGTTTCTGGAGTCTGGAGGCTCTGTAGTCTCTGTAGTCTGTAGTCTCTGCAGTTTCTGGAGTCTGGAGTCTCTGTAGTCTCTGTAGTCTGTAGTCTCTGTAGTCTCTGCAGTTTCTGGAGTCTGGAGTCTCTGTAGTCTCTGTAGTCTGTAGTCTCTGCAGTTTCTGGAGTCTGGAGTCTCTGTAGTCTCTGGAGTCTGTAGTCTCTGTAGTCTCTGCAGTCTCTGTAGTCTCTGTAGTCTCTGAAGTCTCTGTAGTCTCTGGCGTCTGTAGTCTCTGGAGTCTGTAGTCTCTGCAGTCTCTGCAGTCTGTGCAGTCTCTGTAGTCTCTGTAGTCTCTGTAGTCTCTGCAGTTTCTGGGTCTGTAGTCTCTGTAGTCTCTGTAGTCTATGGAGTCTGTAGTCTCTGTAGTCTCTGTAGTCTCTGCAGTCTCTGGAGTCTCTGGAGTCTCTGCAGTCTCTGTAGTCTCTGTAGTCTCTGGAGTCTCTGCAGTCTCTGCAGTCTCTGGAGTCTGTAGTCTCTGCAGTCTCTGTAGTTTCTGGTGTCTGTCGTCTCTGCAGTCTCTGCAGTCTCTGCAGTATGTAATCTCTGTAGTCGCTGCAGTCTCTGTAGTCTCTGCAGTCTCTGGAGTCTCTGTAGTCTCTGCACTGTCTGTAGTCTCTGGAGTCTCTGCAGTCTCTGCAGTCTCTGGAGTCTGTAGTCTCTGCAGTCTCTGTAGTTTCTGGTGTCTGTAGTCTCTGCAGTCTCTGCAGTCTCTGCAGTATGTAATCTCTGTAATCGCTGCAGTCTCTGTACTCGCTGCAGTCTCTGGAGTCTCTGTAGTCTCTGCAGTGTCTGCAGTCTCTGCAGTCTGTAGTCTCTGGAGTCTGTAGTCTCTGCAGTCTCTGCAGTCTCTGCAGTCTGTGCAGTCTCTGTAGTCTGTAGTCTCTGTAGTCTCTGTAGTCTCTGCAGTTTCTGGAGTCTGTAGTCTCTGTAGTCTCTGTAGTCTCTGCAGTCTCTGTAGTCTCTGCAGTCTCTGGAGTCTGTAGTCTCTGCAGTGTCGGCAGTGTCTGCAGTCTCTGGAGTCTCTGTAGTCTCTGTAGTCTGTAGTCTCTGTAGTCTCTGTAGTCTCTGTAGTCTCTGGAGTCTGGAGTCTGTAGTATCTGCAGTCTCTGCAGTCTCTGTAGTCTCTGCAGTCTCTGGAGTCTCTGTAGTCTCTGCAGTCTCTGTAGTCTCTGGTGTCTTTAGTCTCTGCAGTCTCTGCAGTCTCTGCAGTATGGAGTCTCTGTAGTCACTGCAGTCTCTGGAGTCTGTAGTCTCTGCAGTCTCTACAGTCTCTGCAGTCTCTGGAGTCTCTGGAGTCTCTGGAGTCTGTAGTCTCTGTAGTCTCTGTAGTCTCTGTAGTCTCTGGAGTCTGTAGTCTCTGTAGTCTCTGCAGTCTCTGCAGTCTCTGTAGTCTCTGTAGTCTCTGTAGTCTCTGGAGTCTTTAGTCTCTACAATCTCTGCAGTCTCTGTAGTCTGTAGTCTCTGCAGTCTCTGCAGTCTCTGCAGTCTCTGCGGTCTCTGGATTCTGTAGTCTCTGCAGTCTCTGCAGTCTCTGTAGTCTCTAGAGTTTCTGTCTCTAGAGTTTCTGCAGTCTCTAGAGTCTCTGGAGTCTCTGTAGCTCCACATTTGATCCAGTTCAGTTCAGCTGCATTAAGGGGAGTCAAGCTGGATTGAGGCATTTGATCCAGGCCTTTATCTGCTTGTAAGGAGGACGTTGGTGTAGTCTCTGTAGTCTTTAGTCTCTGTAGTCTCTGCAGTCTCTGCAGTCTGTGGAGTCTGTAGTCTCTGCAGTTTCTGGAGTCTATAGTCACTGTAGTCTCTGGAGTCTGTAGTCTCTGTAGTCTCTGCAGTCTCTGGAGTCTGCAGTCTCTGGAGTCTGTAGTCTCTGTAGTCTCTGTAGTCTCTGCAGTATGTAGTCTCTTGAGTCTGTAGTCTCTGCAGTCTCTGTAGTCTCTGCAGTCTCTGGAGTCTCTAGTCTCTGCAGTGTCGGCAGTGTCTGCAGTCTCTGGAGTCTCTTTAGTCTCTGTAGTCTGTAGTCTTTGTAGTCTCTGTAGTCTCTGGAGTCTGGAGTCTGTAGTCTCTGCAGTCTCTGCAGTCTATGCAGTCTCTGCAGTCTATGCAGTCTCTGTAGTCTCTGGTGTCTGTAGTCTCTGCAGTCTCTGCAGTATGGAGTCTCTGTAGTCACTGCAGTCTCTGGAGCCTGTAGTCTCTGCAGTCTCTGGAGTCTCTGGAGTCTGTAGTCTCTGTAGTCTCTGGAGTCTCTGCAGTCTCTGTAGTCTCTGCAGTCTCTGCAGTCTCTGTAGTCTCTGTAGTCTCTGCAGTCTCTGTAGTCTCTGGTGTCTTTAGTCTCTACAGTCTCTGCAGTCTCTGTAGTCTGTAGTCTCTGTAGTCTCTGCAGTCTCTGCAGGCTCTGTAGTCTCTGTAGTCTCTGCAGTCTCTTTAGTCTCTGCAGTCTCTGGAGTCTCTGTAGTCTCTGCAGTCTCTGCAGTATGGAGTCTCTGTAGTCACTGCAGTCTCTGGAGCCTGTAGTCTCTGCAGTCTCTGCAGTCTCTGCAGTCTCTGGAGTCTCTGGAGTCTGTAGTCTCTGTAGTCTATGTAGTCTCTGGAGTCTGTAGTCTCTGTAGTCTCTGCAGTCTCTGTCGTCTCTGTAGTCTCTGCAGTCTCTGTAGTCTCTGGTGTCTTTAGTCTCTACAGTCTCTGCAGTCTCTGTAGTCTGTAGTCTCTGTAGTCTCTGCAGTCTCTGCAGTCTCTGCGGTCTCTGGAGTCTGTAGTTTCTGCAGTCTCTGCAGTCTCTGTAGTCTCTAGAGTTTCTGTCTCTAGAGTTTCTGCAGTCTCTAGAGTCTCTGGAGTCTCTGTAGCTCCACAGTTGATCCAGTTCAGTTCAGCTGCATTAAGGTGAGTCAAGGTGGATTGAGGCATTTGATTCAGGCCTTTATCTGCTTGTAAGGAGGACGTTGGTGTCAGTCAGGTGTGTTTCAGGTGATAAACACCTCACTGTGTTTGTCAGTATTGTTTGCTTTCTGAATAATTCAGAGTCAACTGATATCACACTGCTCCTTCACCTGGACCAAAGCTCCGCCCCCTTACGCCTGACCACCTTTATATCTGAGACGCATACACAGCACCCTCAATTCACTTACAGATCACACCGCAGCCAGACTCTCAGCAGACTCTCAGCAGACTCTCGGCAGACGTTTGGTTTTAGGTGGACAGACGTTTGGTACACTTTCAATCAACTTTCAGACTCTTGTCAGACCTTCAGTAGACTCTTGACAGACTCTCAGGATGGCAAACACAGCAGCAGAGCTGGCCAGAAGGAAGGCCCGTGAGGAGGATGGCGCCGGCAGCACGGCCAACGCCATCCCCTTCAATCAGCAGGACTTTGAACAGTTGCGGTGCGAGAGTCTTCAGTCAGGCTCGCTGTACTGCGACCCAACCTTCCCCGCAGACTGGGACTCTTTGGGGTACAACCAGCTGGGACGCTACTCCTCCAAAACCATCGGAGTGGAGTGGAAACGACCTACGGTAAACTGAGATGCTGAGTGTGTATGATTACTCTTGTTATTGATTATTACCAATCACTTTTTTATGTTGTTATTATTTATAAAATGTCAGAAAATAGTGAAACATCCCAGTTCCTCAGAGTCTGTCGACTGACTAATTGATTAAGCGTTCTTCAGGTTTGTGAAGGTTCAACACGCAAACACGGATTCTGTTGTGTCGAAGCTGCTGAGACTGAAATGTGCCGCAAAACCAAAACGAGAAGCCAAAAGAGGCTAAAAGGACCATTAGACTACTACTTATATAACCCAGTAGTCTGTACAGCAGATACCTTCTATCTTTACACCCTCCATTCAGATAGAAAAACACTGAACAGGTAGAAAAATGGAAGAGCAACAGAAGACAGACAGACAGGAAGTAGACAGAATACTGTAATAAATACAGATCAGTGGATCTTTAAATGAATGATTATAAAATGAAGCTACAAACTGCAGTTTGATCTCCAGTTAATGTGTCACAATCAACAGGAGCCGCTACCAGTGTGTGTGTGTGTGGGTGTGGGTGTGTCTGTGGTCACTATGGTAACCTGGTTAAGGTAGTAATCAGTAGATCTGAAGTCGGTGCAGTTAATGTACTTATTATTAACTGAAGCAGGTTGTCTGTGCTTTTGGCTCCTGTTGTATATATAATGTCACAGTGTGAGATGTTTATGATGTTTATGATGTTTATGATGTTTATGAGGTTTATGTGACGGTCCGACGTCGGCTCGTCATGGTTATCTGCTGCAGAGATCAAAACTCAAATCACTTCATTCTTATATTGAGTAAATTTAAATAAATATTCATATTTAAGGCAACACAATTTTCTATATTTCTTTGTTTTAAATGAAGTTTATATTTGTGATTAGATTTACATAAATATTTAAGAATGAATAGCAGAAATATTATTTTTAATGTCATATAAAAGCAGCAGTTTAACAATATCTCACTGATATCACTGCTAAAGAGGAAGAAACGGAGACTTTAGATTATTGTCCAGTTTTAAAAAGTTTATAAAAGTCAGACTCATTATCAACCAATAGCTGGATTCTATTCGTACAACATTCACATTATTCTGTGGAATATAAAAACAATAACAACAATTATTAGACAGATAAAAACTGTCTCCTCATACAATAATGCTTATTGTACAGAATATAAAATGATAATATTATATAAATTCTATTAAACATTTTATATTCATCTTAATGAGCTACATGACGGCAAATTCAACCAATCACAGCACTGATCCTTTCATCATTGTTATTCTCATTGAATTATACATAAATTATCTTTATGATGATGATAGTGATGATGATGATGATGGTGATGATGATGGTGATGATGATGATGATGATGATGGTGATGATGATGATGATAATCTGCTGTGTCGTCCAATCAGGAGCTGTGTTCAGACCCTCAGTTCATCATTGACGGAGCGAAAAGAACGGACATCTGTCAGGGAGTGCTGGGTGAGAACACACACACACACACACACACACACACACACAGCTCTGTGACCTCTGACCTCTCAGCTGTGATCATGTGACCTGCTGTGTGTCTGTCAGGTGACTGCTGGCTGCTGGCCGCCATCGCCTCCCTGACTCTGGACCCTCAGATCCTGAACAGGGTGGTTCCTCCTGGACAGAGCTTCAGCTCGCAGTATGCCGGCATCTTCCATTTCCAGGTCTGCTCTGATTGGCTCACATATTCCCTCCACAGGAAGTGACATCATGTTTGTGCTGGGAGTGGGAGGGGCCTGTACAGGAAGTGACACTGTGTTTGTTTGTTTGTGCACAGCTGTGGCAGTACGGCGAGTGGGTGGACGTGGTGGTGGACGACCGGCTACCCACCAAAGACGGGAAGCTGCTGTTCGTGCACTCAGCAGAGGGAGGAGAGTTCTGGAGCGCCCTGCTGGAGAAAGCCTATGCCAAGTAAGATCCACAGTAACGTACGGAGGACCAGTACTCCCAGTAGCATAAACCTACCCCCACGGTGTAAGACACTTTCAGTTTACTTTCACTCATTTTTTATTTCTTTATTTTAATTTTTTATCTCATAATTTAGATTTTTTATTTCATAATTTTAACTTTTATCAAATTATATCTGACTTATCAAGAACAGTTTTGTACTGGCAGAAATGGGCTTCCGTACTAATGAGCCCTTTATCTTTCACTGTAGCGCCACCATGAGGTTGACAGGCAGCCGTATGTAATAACAATCTAATGAAAAACACTTATTGAGTCAGTCAGAGCACAGTGTGTGTGTGTGTGTGTGTGTGTTAGAGGTAATTAGGGCCGAGGAGGAAGGTTTACTCAGTAAACACTCGCCGTCGACCAGCCCGGAAAACAAACAGAGCTGCTGACTCAGCTCTTTATACTGAACAGGTAAAACTGTCGGATTTACTGCGCACAGTAAACACCACGTTCCTCCATTTTACACCCAGTGTGTAGAAATCATTTCATTAAAGTGTCTGAGCTTTTATTTTGATAGATAGATCTTATATATTATATAAATATATATATTTATGTATATATTTATATATATATATATAAGGGTATAAAAAAATATATATAAATATACATATTTATATATATACTGTAACACACAATAATCAGCTCTATGGATCAATAATTAGCTGTATGGATCAATAATTAGCTGTATGGATCAATGATGCAGGGTCAACAGCTCGTACGAGGCTCTGACCGGAGGATCCAGTATCGAAGGATTCGAGGATTTTACCGGAGGAATCGCTGAGAGCTACGACCTGAAGGAGGCTCCGCCCTTCCTGTTCAACATCATTAGGAAAGCTCTGAAACTGGGCTCACTGATTGGCTGCTCCATCAATGTAACACACACACACACTATAACACACACTGTAACACACACACACACACACACACACACACACATACACACACACACACACTGTGTCACACACTGTAACACACTGTAACACACACACTGTAACACACTGTAACACACACACACTGTAACACACTGTAAAACACACACTGTAACACACTGTGACACACACTGTAACACACACACTGTAACACACACACTGTAACACACACTGTAACACACACACTGTTACACTGTAACACACACTATAACACACACTGTAACACACACACTGTAACACACACTGTAACACACACACTGTAACACACACTGTACACACTGTAACACACTGTGACACACACCGTAACACACACACTGTAACACACACTGTACACACTGTAACACACACACTATTACACACACTGTAACACACACACTGTAACACACACACTGTACACACTGTAACACACACTGTACACACTGTGACACACACACTGTAACACACACACTGTAACACACACTGTAACACACACTGTACACACTGTGACACACACTGTACACACTGTACACACTGTGACACACACTGTAACACACACACTGTAACACACACTGTAACACACACTGTAACACACACACTGTTACACTGTAACACACACTATAACACACACTGTAACACACACACTATTACACACACTGTAACACACACACTGTAACACACACTGTAACACACACACTGTAACACACACACTGTAACACACACTGTACACACTGTAACACACTGTGACACACACCGTAACACACACACACTGTAACACACACTGTACACACTGTAACACACACACTATTACACACACTGTAACACACACACTGTAACACACACACTGTAACACACACTGTAACACACACTGTACACACTGTAACACACACTGTACACACTGTGACACACACTGTACACACTGTACACACTGTGACACACACTGTAACACACACACTGTAACACACACTGTAACACACACTGTACACACTATAACACACTGTAACACACTGTAACACACACACTGTAACACACACTGTAACACATACTGTAACACACACTGTACACACTGTAACACACTGTGACACACACTGTAACACACACTGTACACACTATAACACACTGTAACACACTGTAACACA